ATATATTTTCATACTCATTTTTAATCCCAAATAATTATTACAAATAATATTTTTGCATATATATAATTGGTTTTTTGTTTTAAATAAAATCAGTAGTAAATGTATTTTTTGTCGAAACTAAATTCTGAATTTGTTCTACAAAATGGCAAAACGAACCAATGACTCCTTTTCCTCGCACCGGCATACGAATATGAGAGTTAGTCAGAATATCCCGCCGACAGCGCAATCGCTGGATATTAATCGGATAATCAGGGATATTGTCAACTGTGATAACCCTGCACAGGGCGCTAATCTGACGGAGAATCAGATACGTTTCGTGTGCATGGAGGCCCGGCCCATATTTCTGAGGGAACGATCGCTCTTGGAGATTAGGCCGCCAGTGAAGATCTGCGGCGATGTGCACGGCCAGTTTGTGGATCTACTGCGGATTTTGCACTCGGGCGGCTATCCGCCGGCCTCCCGATATCTGTTTCTGGGCGATTACGTGGACCGCGGCAAGCTGTCCATTGAGACGTTCACACTGCTGCTGGCCTACAAGGTGCGCTATCCACACGTGATGTGGCTGCTGCGCGGCAACCACGAGTGCGCCAGCATCAATCGCATCTACGGGTTCTACGACGAGTGCAAGCGTCGGTATTCGATAAAGCTCTGGCGCTACTTTGTGGACACCTACGACTGCATGCCGCTGGCTGCATTGGTGGGCGGCCGCATCTTTTGCGTGCACGGCGGCCTCAGTCCCAGCCTGAAGAGCTTCGAGGACATACTGGCCATCAAGCGACCCTGCGACATACCCGAACAGGGTCTGGTCTGTGATCTGCTGTGGAGCGATCCCGACGAGAAGGTGATGGGCTGGGGCGGCAACGATCGCGGCGTCAGCGTCACCTTCGGCGCCGATGTGGTACGCAACTTCTGCTTTCGCATGGGCGTCGATGTCATCTGTCGCGCCCATCAGGTTGTCGAGGATGGCTACGAGTTCTTCGCACGCCGCCAACTGGTCACCATCTTCTCCGCGCCGAACTATTGCGGCATGTTCGACAACGCCGGCGCCGTGATGGTTGTCAATGACGATCTCATTGTTAGCTTYATCATTCTGCGCCCCACATATGCGGTACGCAACATGGTCGGCGCYGAGCACATGACTGCCACGGGCAAGAACCGAAACTATTAGCCTCAACTGAGAGAGRAAARCAACCTTCATTCATTGCGTTCGATTTGTTTGTGCAGCTAGCAAATAGTCAAGTAARGAYAGTGTTGAGTCGATCTTTTAAATTTAGGACTCGTTTGTATATTTTTCGAGAAAAATATATGAGAAAGCTTAAAAAAAGAAAATATAATAATAATCATAATAATGTAAACAAATTTTATACTAAAATATATTTTTGTTATTTTATTACTCGGTCTGAAAAGTTATTGAGTTTTCTATTTATAAGAGTAACTGTTGAAATTTAAG